AGAACAAGTAATCTCCCTTTAATTATATAATTTAAAAAAAAAATTAAAATATGAATAATCCCCACTCAAATATATAAGTTTTTAATATTTTTATATACATATATAAATCCTGCTTATTTTAATTGCCAACTATAATTTTAAAATGAAAAAACTGTAATCCCAGCTCAATATGTAACTACGCTAACATTGCAATAACAAGGTATATTAAAATACTAAATTGTGTAATGATCAATTCATACACAGCACCTGAAGATTGCATCGTACATGAAACTGAGTTGAGCTATCAATGAGGGATAATATCTACATTTATTAATATATATGGTTAGTTGGTTCATTTTGTCTAGCTGGATATCAACTTCTATTGGTTATTTAATGCTTAAATCTAAATATTTTTAACAATTTTATGACTTCAACTGCAGATATAATGTATTATTGGTAATTTTACTATAAATATGTACTGTTGGTAATTTTTATATATATAAAAATGTATTACTGGTGTTTTTACTATAAAAAATATTTTTATACTTTCATAGTGTTTTATTTGGGGGTTCACTATTTGCCCATAGCTGGGACCCTAAAACATGCTACCACCCCCGGGTCAAGGTGAACCTGAGAATAACTGCAATTAAGAGGTGGTTCAACGCCCCTCAAAACCTCCAATCTTCCGATCAGAGGCCTTGCTGCCAGATGTAATTTATCATCATACCCAGGATTAATATATATATATATATATATATATGAGAGAGAGAGAGACAGACACAGACACAGAGAGAGAGAGACAGAGAGAGAGAGAGAGAGAGGCGTGGGGGTGTTTGCGTACGTGCATTTCTTACTGCCTCGTTCTCGATATCTGCACTTTCTCTACTCTTAACAGCTCTTTAATTTCCCAACCATTCTTTACTTTCTCTCTCTTTCCTCTCTATCTCTCTTGCCAATTGCTCAACCTGGGTACAGGCACGCGTCGGTGGTAGTAGAAGTGGTTATAGTGGTCATCGGTAGGGAGGAGGTCTGGACAGAATTCCTAACCGTACATCATCCTGTGTACGTTGGTGGCCAACCCTCAGCATTTTGCAAACAAACTCACCCGAATGACCAGGTGATTGCAGTTTACCCGGTAATGGATTTTATCTGCACGTGCGAAGGGAATGGAATTTCATACGACAAATATAAATAATTTTGAAGTGGATTTATTTGGTTCAACTTCTTAGAAAATGTAAATTGGCTCTCGCTCATTGAATTGCAAATCACACCAACGCATGTTTTAATGCATCTATAAATATAGAAGACATCCCAACTTTTTTATTCATAAAAAAAGTATATTTGTCTATATATTTCGTAATATTTATTTTTCAATTTCAATTGCTTAGGTGTGTTATATTTTCGATATTAAAAGTTCTGTCAGTAAAAGCCACAGATAATTATATATTATTAAAGGTTTAAATTCAGTGACAGTTTATTGAAATCACGCTTCTTACTTGTCTCTGGATAGATTGCGGTATAAGCAGTTTTTCTTCATGAATTCTTCTTTTATGCGCTGTGTCCATTCAAGACGTATGCGATCATGGCTCTCCGCAATTTCCTGCCATGTAGCTCTTAATAAATGTTTGTCTCCTAAACCTTTCTCTACTATCCATTTACACAGGCTCGCAAGGTAGGGTATGAGTTGTTTTCTTCTGTCCCTCTTGCCTTCAATCTGTCCTGTGAGTATTAAAATTTCTAAGCCCTCTTTACTCATTCTGTGTCCTAGAAATTTCAACTGTCTCTTACTGGTGCTAAGTGTCCTTTTTGTTTAAGCAATAATCGTTATTATTTCCACCTTTTTTCTCAGTCATTGTTTTCTTTTAAAGCTCGAACTTCATTAAGAGCAAAATGTAATCCAAATGTGGAAGACATGGTATGGAAGAAAACAGATTAAAAAAGAAACAGAAACTATACGAGAAAATATTTATGCAGAAATTGTTTAGTGTTATTGTAGCCTGTCTGTTCTGGCCCGTTATGAAAATATTGGAGATTTCCATTTATTGGACGTAAATAACTTTTCATGGGAACTACAATTTTGGTTTCGATCGAATACTCTAAACGACACTCCCAACATCAATATAATAAAATATGTCACAGAACAGGTCGTATTGCACGTCTACACTGGTTTAGAAATAGCACTAAGTGCTAGTTAGTTTATAACACAAAGACTGTGGACCGACATTTGAAAGCATATATATATATATATATATATATATATATATATATATATTGTGTGTGTGTATTCGTTTAATGATAATGTTATTAAGTTTATCAGACGTTATGAAAAGAATTTACATAAAATAAATAGACAACATTTGTCTATATTATTTAATGAAACATGTATGAATATATATATATATATATATATATATATATATATATATATATATATGTGTGTGTGTCGGGGAGAGATATTATCTTATGCAGTGTTGCATTAGAACATGCACATATCCACTGCAAAATTCTAATCACGGTGTAA